GTGGGAGGATAATGGATTCTGATAGATACGCTGTATGTCAGGGACATGGGACATTCAAGCAGAGAAGCTTAGTACACGTATGACTATCTGGAAATCAGGAAGGACTTGAAGCAGGTGATAGATATGCACAGGACTTAGGATCATTGAGTCATAGCACACTTAGGACCAGTTGTGCTGCACTGGTTTCTAAGGTTGCCACCATAAATGACCATATGTGGGGTGGCTTAGAACAGAAATTTATCCTCTCACTATTTAGAGCTAGAAATTCAAAGCCATCATGCCATCAGGGTTAGTTCCTCTGGAGGCTCCGAGGGAAAATCTGTTCCAAGCTGTTGCCTCGCTGCTGGCAGTCCTCAGTGAACCTGAACTTACACATGCATAAACCCACCTCTGCCTCCATATTCAAACGGCCTTCTCCCTATGTCTCTGTCTCAGAGCTCTCCTTCCTGTTAGAAGAACACCAGTCACTGTGTTAAGGCCCACCCTAAATCCAGTGTGATTTCAAAGCAAAATCCCTAATTGAACTACGTCCTCAGACTATTTCCAAATACTGTCTCATTCACAGTTTGCTGGGGTTAGGACACGATTCAACCTATTACAAGTAGTTTCCTGTCTTTCCTTTTCCCTTTCAACAGCTTCTTTCCTTGTGGGGCAGCTATTACTCACTCTTTCTATTTAGATGTTATTCCTATAAAATTGGACTTTGTAGTTTGCCCCCGTATTTTTTTTGCTCCTTTTTTTCTGTCCCTGATAATATGTAAAAGAGCCTTTTTCAATTCAATTTTTGACAATTTTGTTGGTAATGGATAAGAAGATACACCCAGACATGAAAAATCAAATTATGGTCAATTTAACAAAGTTAGGAAATCTCAAAGATTTCCTACATTAATGATTCCTAACCTCTGTTTTCTCGTTTGAGGTGCAAACTGTAAGCCACTTAGGCCTTCGCCCTCTGACTCCTGATATTTAGGCTCAACAAAGCTCTCTTTACCACATGTCCTCCGTTCTGATTCTGTTTTTAGATGCACTTGCTACCAGAATATATAATGAAGGCAGAACGAAATGTATGAGGTGATCATTGAGGTCTGTTTTGGATTCTGTTGGGGTGACATTCATAGAACCTCTGACCAACAAGAAATAACACCCTGGCAGATTTTGTCATGATGGCCAAAGCCTGTGACATAGTTGCTGAGGGTAAGCATTCTAGGGAAAATGCAGAAAAGAATGGAATTAAATGTTTTTCTTGTCTCTGCAATTACTAAGAGTTACCTACTCTTTCACATATGTATTTCATGTAATGTCTCCATCAACCTTCTACTCATTTTACAGTTGAGGCAAATGAGATCAGTGTGAATATGTTATAATGTGGCAAATATCTCACTTCCCAGGAAATGGAAACCCAGTTCCATTTGAATCCAATGCCCAAATTCTACCTATTTCACTATTCTGCTTTGTAAACTGACAGTTATTGAATGACTTTTTAAAATAACCATGTGATATGTTATATCACCATTTCTTCATCACAACATCTGTGTTACCTTGGTGAGTGTTAGCCCCCATTGAACCAATGAGATCACTGAAACTTAGAAAAGTAAAAAAAAAAAAAAAGTATACAAATTACATAGCAAGTAAATAGCACAGCTAGGATTTTAATTTAGACTTGTCCAACTCAAAGATCCCGGCTTTTTCTGAGGATGAAAACCTTGGATCAAAATCTAGGGCCTCCCTAGTGGTGCAAGGATTAAGTCTCAGCACTATGAAGCTCTCCACAGCCACTGTAGCACGTGTTCGATCCCCGACCAGGAAGCTACCCACATGGCGCAGCAGATCTCTCCTGCCTCTCCTGCTGCTCCCTTCAGCAGTGTACTTCAGTAGATCTGCCTGTTCTGCTCCCCACTCTGTCTCTGGTGAATCCCCGCATCCCCCATACCTCTGGCCTGTACCCCAGTTCTTGTATGCATAAGTAAATCTTTAAAAAACATCTAAAGAGCTGGTGGAGAAAGGATCCAAGTAAGAATATGAAGATGGTGAGGAACAGAGGACAGGGAACCCAGTGCTATGAAGAGAAACTAGGAGGAAGGAATTTCTATTAAGAGAAATCAGCAGTGCTGGCATTCTACAACGAATGGAAACTAGCCCCTGGATATGGCAACTGAAGGAACAAGGAAAGCAGAAGCCAGACCATAGTGTGGATGGTTGCATGAGGAAAGAGTGGGAGAGTATTGTAGGAATCATCCAGAAGTTGGGTTTCAAAGACAAAGAGAGAGACCAATTGGATAGACAGAGAGGACAACCCAAATGTTGAGAGAGAGAGAGAGATTTGCTTGTTGAGGAGAACCCCAAGTAATTACAAGTTCAGGTGGTAGAGATCAGAAAGATAATATATGTAAGAGAGTAATCATTGGGGAGGTATAGAAATTTAGAACATGAATTTCGGGGATTACCTTGAATGAAAAAAAAGGGGCGTCACTTTCACTGAAACAGAAGGGGGAAGCGGGCCTAAAAGGAGATAGACTAGAAGCTGGCATGGTGCCCAAGGGTGCCTGTGAGGAAGGTGGGTTTGAGCTTTGCTGGCCCATCCAGTCTCAGGCCAGCCATTTGCGGAACCAGAGAATCAGTGAGGTCAGGGATTCCATAACTGTAATAAAAACAAAATGTAAAAAAACAGCAAACAATGCTGTTGTCAGTTCTGTAATATGTGAATATTTAGGATTAACACAACAAATACAAATGTTAGAATTTCATTTGTATGTAAACATTTTAACTAAAATTCCAAGGTCTCTAAAAATACTGATGTTGATTTCAAAAGCAAACACTGATCTCCACCTGCACAGGAGCACACACATATTTCCTCACATTGGAAATCACCATGACAGACCGTCAGTCTGTCAGTTACTAACCCCCATGATAATTTGCACCCCTTTTGTATCTACATTATTCTTTTTTTCTAAACGATAGTGTCTTGGCAGTGCCTACAAAGCATAAAGAATTCATGCTTTTATTCAAAGCCATGTGTCAAACCATTTCAAATATATTCATGTTCTGGAGAAGCTAGCTGGACTACAGAAACACTTGATTCCAGGTTGTATATAACCATGGGTTAGAGGAGAGACCTATCAAGCTGATCTTCACATCTTGCTCAGTGAACATGTTCTGAGACAGTCGCTGTCATAGAGGAGCTGTATTTCTTTCAGAAGGGTAGGCTTCAGGAACAGAATAAATTCGATAGTAATACGTGAAGAAGGTTGTTTAGAAGAATACAAGGATGATACAAAGTTAAAAACAACCATCTTTTATAATTAATATTAACCCTGAAGGTCTGACCTATGAGCAGGAATATTTTGTTCTTTGAATAAGTTCCAATGAATTGAGCTCTGAGAGGCAAAATACAGAGGAACTCTCAAGGCTCTCTTCTCTGTCGTCTGTGTTGGCCCTGAGCTTTCTGCCTGGAGGAGCTCCGAGGACAGGGTCCGGTGTGTGAGTGGTGCGGGGAGGCACTTTAGAACCTCCAGCGCTGAAGCACTGCACTAACCTGACATCAGCTTCTTTAGTAGAAATGTTCAAGCTGCAAGAAAGTATTCTGTGTTTTTTGGCAATCAACAGATCAGATACAAGTCTAGCAATACAACGAGGATGTGTAATCTGACATGATTAGACAAGGCTCTTTAGTACCAGAACATTCATAATTGAGACAAAGAAAGAGTATTAATAACACTTTCCTAACACGGCAGTTAGCCATTTTATATTTCCTTTCTTTAATCTTAGTGTTTTTCAACAAATCATGGGATTTAATAGCGTGTTTTGGCAGATTAGAGGATTTATGGTCCAGATGTTTTTTGTTCTAAAAATGGATTAGGGTGTAAAGTTTGCTGGAATCCATGGAACATGTTGAGGCAAGCCGGTCATTTTATGTGTGATTAGTGCCTGCCTTCTGTCTCACAGTCCCTCCATCTGTCACAATTCACCAATGGATCTGGTTAGATTTAGCCTCATGTCACAAACAAGTCCCTTTTCTGGGCAATTTCATATTATAGATTCAGTTTATGCCATTTTATGCCCTAGTTAAAAAGATAGTGAAAGACGAGATATTAGCTTTCCTCTCAATATTTACAAAACAGTCTTTTCCTATCTCTATTTTACCCTGAAATCATGCAGATTAGCAGGGTAATGTGCTTCAAGTAAATAAATGACCATTCTTAAAATCAAGTTGAAAATTAGTTTTGTTCTTTATACCTGATAGTCTTTAAAAGAAATACTTTGGCAGTGAATCTGTGTTCCACTTACTCTGGACAGTGGCGGTGCAGACACAAGGAGGGCATTTGACAACCTTATTAAGGGTGTGAACTAAGTGTGGCTAAGGTACCAGCAGCCAGGGTTTCTTATCAAACAATTATAGGTGTTTGGTTACATTCTGAACTTGAAGTGTAGCTATTGAAGTTTGTATCCACAGCAAACCAGTGCCACCTGTGGTTTATTTCACCATAAATGGATTGGGGGAAAATGTTCTTCTTACAGTAAGATAATTACTCTTCCTTCTGTGTGTAACAAACCTAACAGCGCTATCCACTAACTCGAAACTGATCTTCCTAATACTATTATGAAAGAGCCAAAAGGAGTGGTAATGATTATCAGTACCTGTAGCCCTTGGTAATATTCAAATGATCCTCACATGAAAAAAAAAGTCACACAGGTTTTATTTTTGCATTGCAAAATATTCAGAGTTTACAGAAAAATTGTATTTCAGACTTCTTCCCAAATAGGTGGAAATAGCCTTATTTTACTTAAGTATTATATTTTTAATAGAGACATTTGGCACCATCGTCATGTATTCAGTCATCATCAATTATTCATTTGTTCTTTCATTTTAGACAAATTCCATTTAGAAATTTATTGTATGCCAGACAGTTGCTATAAATCAAAAAAAAAAGTGATTTTTGTGGTGAAAGGTTACCCTGTCTGCATTTGTACCAAACATACCCTTTGTTCTGTCACATCTTCAGGTTATTTAAATGACCACGATGCTGTCACCAAGGCCATCCAAGAAGCCCGGCAGATGAAGGAGCAGCTTCGGCGGGAGCAGCAGGTGCTGGATGGGAAGGTGGCTGTTGTGAACAGTCTAGGTCTCAATAACTGCAGGACAGAAAAGGTGAGTTCATAAAATAACTGACTTTCCAAACCACTTAAATTCGCTACATGCTTTTTTTTTTTTTTCTTTATTCACCTCACAGTCCTCAGAATAATGGTTCTCCCCTTTCTGTGTCTCCTTCTCTCTATGCCCATCATAATCAAAACCACAATTCTCCCACCTCCATCTCCAAACTTTATCTACAATGAATATCCCTTCTTCTGCCATCAATCTGCATTATTATGAAATGGTATTTGAAATATCTGAGTCCCAGTAGAAGTTTTGCTATACTGAGATGATTAACTTGTATTTGGGGATGAGCTGGATTTGGAAGTGTGGAATCTTTTTTAATCTGCATAAGCTTGGATGATACCCGTGCTGGTGGTCAAAGCACCTTGGCTACTGAGCACTGTCTAGTTGTAGGCAAGTTTAGGCAGTAAAACTGGTGAATACATCTGAGATACAGTAATTTCAAACTTTTGTCTAAACTAGATTGTATTTTATTGGTGAAAATATTGTAAATTTTTACACAGTGCTAAGAGTGATGTGCTTCTTTGGGTAATATTTGAAATGTGTTAAACTGAAATTTTAAAGTGTTACTGAATCCCCTTTTCATAATTCTATCACTAAATAGATACAGCTGATAGAAGAAATGATCAGCTACTTAGCAATAACTTGAAAGTTAATTATCATAGGAAGCTTATGAGTCCAAAAATATTGTCCAGAATGAGCAGATTGCTAATTTGGCTGGCTTTCTGGTTTCTCGGGTTTCATATGGAATTTTATGTGTAATCTCTAAGAAGCGAGCAATGTGCACAGAGAAGGTGAAATGTACCCATGATCCTGTCACAACTGTACCTTTCTATAGCCCAAATATGGGTCCAAAAAAATGGAGGAATGATTTCAGTGCTGCTGTGCCTCTGGAGGGGACAGCAGAGCACGGACCAGTGTGTGTCCCTCGCACTCTCACAGCAGAAGAGCAACGCAGGTGCAGCAAGAAGGGCACACCATTTTCTAGCTAACACCAGAAGGGAAAAGGACAGGCAAAGTGACAGCTCTAAGAAGGAATGATAGCAAGCATAAAGGAATTTATATTCAAATATTTAAACATTCTTGAAAGGATGCTTGAACAGAAATTCCTTTTCTCTGCTCCCCATGTAGAAATGAGTTTAACACTCAGCCAGATGCTAATGCAAAGTGACTCAAGCTATTCCTCGCAAGCATAGCTAAATTGCCGTTATTTGTTAAGCGCATTGAATTCAGCTGTGGATACAGCAGTTGGTTGCATTCAGCAAGCATCTGTACCCTTTTTTTTTTTTAATCCTCCAAAGCAGACACAACTCTACCTATCTCCCCCCCTCTCCTCCCCTGTGCTGGCTGGGAATTGTCAAGTGACAACCGACCAAATCCTTTTGGACAGGAAGCCTTCATCGCGAGTTCTATATACTTGCAAAACAGGCCTTGTGGTTGGATCAGGGAGCCCATTAAAAGCACTTTGATGGTATGGAAATTCATCTTCATGAAGCTCCTAGGCCCCTAAGCAGCATGCTGTTTAGCTGTGGTTACAGATCAGTCATTCACATCGGAGGGCAATAATTGTGCTGACGGCTTGTAAGGCAATGGAAGTACATAAAATAATCCCGGGCCTTCCACCATGGCACTGAGAGTTAATCTCCTCTAATACACATCAGCTGTTGTTCTAACGCATGCCTTCATGCCGGCTCCAGTGACTCTGCTCAGCCTTTGATTAAGTAACAGGAGTGGAACCATCTGCATTCACTTTAGTCCCTACTTGTCCATTGTTAGGGAGCCTTGTTTTGACTTCCTGTTCCACCCCCACAATCATACTTTATCTTATTTTTCTGATTAGCAGCTTCCATTTGGGTTGTAGGGCTCTATTGGAAGCTACTACTTTCAATTTTCCTTTCTCTTTTGTAGAAATACAGTAACTTTAAAAAAAAAAAAGTGTTTTTGAAGTAATACCTGCCAAAATCTGTTGGCCGGGTAAGATGTCTCCATTCTCAAAGAGGTTATCCCTTTGCCATGCACTTTCAATGCAGTTGAATTACATTATCAACAACAGTTTTGTGTTCTTGCAGGTTTTTAAGTGAAAAATTTTGAAATATGAAAATTAAACAGTTTCATTATTAAAATGACAAACTCGTCTGATACATACGTAAATCTTGACAGAAGGATATGAATTAGCTCATCTCTTAGATTGCCTTTGACACCTGAGAATAAAATCAAGATTATTGCTACTCTCTTTAAAGCAAGTGTTACTGTGGTTGCTTTTTCCTGTTACAATAGCTTGTGCTGCATTTTGCTATCTATATATTGAGTAACATTGGTTTACTGTACTGAATGTCTTTTAGGAGTACCAAATATCCTCCACCACAGTGGATTAGACTCTCCCCCACTTTACTACCCTAGTTCTGTAGTCAGTTTCCAAGGCTCAGTTTTCATTTGTCCCTTTGCACATGAATGAAATCATGTTATTTTTCTCCTCTGAGAGATTTCATCTCTCTTTATAGCTGCATAGTATTCCATTGTGTATACATATCTTTTTTTAATCCATTCAACTGACCTTGGACATTTAGGTCATTTCCATAATTTGGCTATTGTAAACATCCCTGCAGTGAACAAAGGATCACACATACCTTTTCAAATTGGTGTTTTTGTGTTCTTAGGATAGACACCTAGGAGTGGAACTGTTAGCTCACATGGTTAATCTATTTTTTAATGTTTTGGGATATGTCCACATTGTTTTCCATACAGCCTGATCCAGTTAGTTAACAGACCCACCAGCAGTGTATGAGGGGTCCTTTTTCCACAACCTGACCAATACTTGTGTCTTTGTGTTATTTTCTTTCTCACGTGTGAAGTGAAAACTCATTGTGGTTTTAATTTGCATTTCCTTGATAATAAGTGTAGTGCCAGGAAGGTACAGAGCAGAATCTCTATAATCCTATGTAGATGGATCAAGTGGGGTCCTAGAGCCCTCGGTGTCTTTTTCAGGCTTATATTTAGCTTTTACCAGGTACACAGCAGGCAGAGGTGCCAGGGGGCCACCGGGAGGCTGGCAGGCCTTCCGCCCCTGGCGAATCTTCACTCTTTCTGGGCTCTCTGGCATTTTCTTCCTGCTGGATCCAAGTCACTCTGCTGGCGTCGCTGTGATGCCGCCCTTAGAAGCTCAGTCTCAGCCCAGGTGTACCCATCAACATATGCCCGCACCCCACTCCAGGGGCCCGCCATCAGGCATGCATTCAGGACCACAGGGATCCATCATTAATGCTAATGGCAGGAGGGCAGAAAAACCTGATAATCACTTACCCTACAATAGTGATGAATAATTTTCCACATGCATATTGGACTTCTAGATGTCTTTTGGAGATATGTCTATTCAGACCTTCTGCCCACTGTTTTTATGTTGTTGAGTTTGAGTTTTCTATAGACCTTGGATATTAACCCCTTGTTGGATGTATGTAGCTTGGGCTTTTTTTTTTTTTTTGAACATTTCTTTTACTTGCAAAAACCTTTTAGTTTGATAAAGTCCTATTTATTTTTTATTTGTTTCCATGACCGTTGGAGTCTAGTCCCCAAAGACACTGCTAAAGCCAATACTACAGTGTTTTGCTTATGCTTTCGTCTGTGTATTTGATGGTTTCAGGTATTACCTCAGGTTATTTAGGTTTTGAGTCTTTGATCCATTTTGAATTAATTTGTGTGTATGGTGTGAGCTAGTGATCTAGTTTCATTCTTCAGCGTGTTACTATCTAATTTTCCCAACATTTGTTGAGTCTTTCCTTTCTCCATTATATACTGTTGGCTCCTTTGTCACATATTAACATGTAAGTGTGTGTTTGATTTTGGGCTCTCAGTTCTATTCCACTGATCGGTATATTTTTATCCTAATACTATACTGTCATTTTTCAGTATTAATAACCAATCTACATCTATATGACACATGGAAATGAGATGATGGCAAATTTATATCTTTTAATTAGTAATAATTCAACTTTGTACAAAAGGTATTGTTAGGAGGAAAAGGATGTCCTAAAGCTAATTCCATACAGGCTTTGTGGACTCCACCCCCACCCTAGGCCAAAGCCAAAGACACTGGGAACTCCAAATCCCATCACCACCAAAGGGAAGGTGGCTGGGACCTAAAGGTGGGGTTAAGCAGCCAGGTTGGTATAAAGCCAGACACGTGGGCTTTGGAGGGGTCCCCCATTTTGACCCTCTGCCAGCTCGCAGCATCCGGCCAGCTCGGAGAGTGCTTTTTGGGTTTCCAGGTCGGCGGATTGGGTAGGACGCATTAAAGACTTTATTTCCCTATTTTCTCCCTGAGTTGTACATTTTCCTATTTCCTTTTCCCTTGTAAATAAACCTTTTATTAACCTTTTGCGTGTGCCTGTAGTGGAGTATTAATAAGTCCCTTTTAAGCTCGCGGGTGAGGACCCACAGCCAGGCAACCCGTTCAATATCAGGGCTGCCCTATAACAGTATTAGGGATGGTAGTGTGCACTACCTATACTATATTGAACAATATGGCTTCTACCTCTGTAGAATTTATGGTATATAACATTATTTTGACTGTTAATCATAGCATATTTATATATGTGCCCCACTTATAGGAATTTAATAAAGACCCCATATATCTTAGTATAAAGATCGTTTTTGTGCTTTTGCATACAGGTTTTTTCCATGAAAATTTTATTGATTTGCTACTCATTTACAAGAACATGTAAATTTTGGAACGTAACTTCACACCTCACCATGTGCAATAGCTTCCAATACACTATCACCTTATCCCCTCTGAGCCTGTTCTCTCCCTTCCCCACTGGTAGCCACCATAGTCTTCAGAATCCATATAAATCATTTCTGTACCAGAGTTGACAAAGGGATAGACAAAGCAATATCACTATGTACATTGAGTTGTCATTTTCATATTACTTACCTTTTAAAGGAGTTTTGTAATCATTCCACTTCATCCATGGACAAAACATGGGTAGATGAATAGT